AAACTATCGAAATTGTCTCTAAATGTAAGCATATATATGATTGACTATGATTGATGATCAACGCTTTGGCCAAGCAGTAACTACAACAAAGCTGCATTTTGGTAAGCCACACCCTCAGCTCAAATATAAGCCGATATTCGAATCCGCACTTAAAAAAATACCCTTACCTCGGGCAACTTTTTGTATTTTATAAACAAATTCTTATACATTTTTCTTTCTCTGTATTCTATAGATTTCTGTATTCACATTGCAGTCACAAAACAGACTTTGTGTGTGTTCTTGAATGACTAATAACAAAAAAATAATAAAACAAGAAAAAACTGGGTGCACGACATATTTATGGGCGGAGAGGCAAATGTTTAAAGAATTCATTCTTTCATTTGTTTATCAACAGCTGAAATCGGGGAAACAAGCTGCCTCGAATCGGATCGAATGCCATAAAAAAATTCGTGTTTCTTCTCGAATGTCGCCCGTAGGAAAAACCGAAGACAAGAAAAAGCGAAATGCGAACTAATCAAAAATCGTTTATTTAACCCATAAATCGTTTGGAAATTAAACAAGGGATTCACAAATGGAAACGAAACGAAATGAAGCGCCAAAAGGAAGTTGGCCTCGAACGTGTCTAAAATTTTGAGCGCCCTTTGTTGTTGTTGTTGTTGTTGTTGTTGTGGGAGTCAGTTGAACAACAAAATTTGCATTGACGCGCGACTCAGCTGCCCAAATGAGCGCAAAAGACAAAGCGAGCCCCAGCGAGGGAGAAGAAATAAACAAAAATGTTTCGCATGAAAACAAAATAAATAAGAACGACACAAAAAAGGAACAAAACAAAATAAAACAAAGTTATAAACCAAAGAAAATAATAACAAGAGAGATTACAATCGTGATTGATCAACTAGCTGATACCCTGTTCGCTGCATAAGCATTCATTTAAATAAATGAATGAAAACCGATATATATCGATTTTAAGAAAATTACCGCATAAAATAATGTTATTAAATCTGAAGAAACAATTGGAGTTCGTTTAAATAAATGCTTGAAAACGTAATTTAAAAAATCGATATTTATCGATTTAAGTATACGGGAATCAGTATACAATAAGAGTTTTTATTTTAACGTTAATAAATTTACAAATGTTTATCAATATTTATGACTCAGATGCGTTACAAGCATTCGTACTATTCGAATATGCCCTATTTTAAAATAGGTACAGGGTATACAAAACAGAATAAGCGATAAAGCGCACATTTGGGCAAACAGCCAAGAAGGGAAGACGCAAAACAGAAAGAAAAAGGGAGAGGGAGAGGCAGACGGAGAAACACAACGCAATTCTGAATGACAGCGCGGCGATAAGAAAACATGCCGTGTCGTCAGCATACTTGGTATATATACTATATATATATTTATATCACGTATATATGTATAGCCCCGCCAAAACAAATGATTGCGCGCGCTTATCAGTCAAAGTTGAGGCGTCAGCATTTGAGATTTCTAGCTGGAATGCTCGTTTGTATGTGGGCCACAGAGATAGCGCTTACTAATTGGGGGGGCAAAGCCAACAGCAGTCGCCAATAGGTGGCGCTGATAAGAAAGTGCAGAGCATGGGAAAATGGGCAAGACAACAACAAGAAGCTGTTGACTGTGATTCATTAGCGTCATTTTCTTTTTTGGGTCTTCGCTGCTTTTCACCGCTCTACGGAAATCTTGTGAAAATAGCCCACGAATTTTCCAATGAATAAGCCAAAAGAAATAAAATGAAACATATATTTATATAAATATGTATAGGTATATATAGAAACTACTGTGTGTCGCAATTTTCATTGAGAGATGTTCATCAAAATTTTTATGACTTGTTTTTCGGGTTTTTAAGATCAATCAAGAAGATCATTCATGAGAAGCATTTCTGGCTAGCAGTTGTTGAGTGTTTTATGGCAAATTATATGCGACTTAAACCATTGTATAGCAACCAGTATACCCTGTAATATTCATATATAGTATGTCAATTTATATCGATATTCATGCCGTCCTCTGACTTTGTGCTGAACACAGGGTACCTCTTAGTCGACCAAATCACATTTTGAATACTGTAGTTTACTTTTTTGGGTTGGAGCTCTCAATAACACGCTTTGTTCTATAGCCTAATAAAGTGCAAGGACAGTGTGCACTCGCTAACCAGAACAAATTATATGCAGAAGCTAAATAGAGAAATATTTAAATAATATTTATTTAAAAGTTATATACATGAGTAATATTTATCGAGTGCTCACTGTAATTCTTAGTGATCTATTAGTTTTTTTGCTCCTCTAAATATTTACTCTAAGCTCTGCCATAATCAAATTCAATTGGAAGACAATAAAGTTCTTTATAATTCTACGCTCCGTATTCCAATCAATTCCAGGTATAAATTTTCAGCTTTATTCAAATGTAAAAAAAAAAATCGAAAAAATATTCGCATTCCACCTTTTATTTCGTTTGCTTTGCTTTGTTTCGCTTTTTCTTAACTTCTTAAAGCACTTTGACTCTTGGCCGCTTTTTTCGCCAGGAAAAACAACAACATTTACAGCAAAAGCAACAACATTAACAGCCATTTAACAGAGCTTTCGACTCATGCCGCATTCTTTTGGCAAACGAGCATCGCGAAATGCCGGTTTACGTGTTTTGCTTTTTGTTATGTCTTTTCTCTATTGCTTTCTTTGTCGCACAGATTTATGCAATTTTCTGCTGTTGTTGTTGTTTCTGCCTTGTAATTTTGCCAAGTGGCGAGCGAAAGAGTAGAAAATGTAGAAGAAGAAGCATAACATGTCTGCCTCTGCCTCTCCTTTTCCCTCTAACACACACAGCTGCATTCAATGTCAGCCTAGGCTGCAAGAACAACACCAACGACAATGTGCGTGCTGTTTGCCATTGTCGACAGCGACGGCGACAGCGACGACGACTGCGACAGCGACTGCTTGATGATTCATAAAACATGCAAGAACTGGAAAATCAAGTGGAATGCATGCAGCTGCAGCTGCGCGGGTGGGGCGACAGCCAAAAACCGCAAACGAAGCGCAGCGCAGCAGTCGACAACGTCAGCTGACACAATGGCCGCTCATTGTGATTGCTGGCCGCGGGTGCGAGTGCGAAAGAACAAATAAACATGTATGGTTTTGCAACAAAAAGTAAATAGAAGCAGAGTATCGATGGCAGTTATGCAGTATCGATTGTTTACATACATAAATTACTTGCTTAACTCACCTGGGTATGCTAATCAAGTAGATAAGCAGGCGACGCAAATCCTCCGGTTTAAGTCGGTCCCGGCGCGGCGTTGCCGGAAAGCATAACAATGGACCGCCACGCCTATCGCGCCCACCAGTGAGAAAGACAACGCGCTCCTGCAGTAGTGTTAACAGATCGCGGGCACGTTGACCATCCATGTTGTTGTTGTTTGTATGTGTGTGTGTGTAAGTGTGTGTGAGCAGCTGTTTTAATAGTCTTTAACTATTGTGAGGGCAGCGCAGCATAACGGACTCGCCTTCAATTTCACTTAATTTGAAATATTTATTATTATTTTAGCTGTTGTTGTTACACTTTTGCTTGCTTTGAAGGCTTTCATTGATTTTTGCAAATTTCTCACTGCCATTTTTTCATGGTCAACGCAGCGGCACTATATATGTACATATGCATGCGTTAGTATGTGTGTGTGGTTTGTTTAGAAAAGAAACGGACAAATAAGCCAAATATATACGAATGGTCACACTCAACATGAAGCATATTAATTACATTTTTGGCAAATTTTGTATCATATGGGCAACCCCCTGAACACACATACACACACAGGGAGATAGGGAAATACACGCATACACAGACAGAGAGGGACACAAACACTCATGACACGAAACACCCCCACCGAATAGCGGTTAAATGTTAAATGTCATAAATCAACTCTATGCCGTGTCACGCAATGGCCGCATAAAACATAAACGCGGAAATACATATACATATACACACACACACATGCACATCTATGTTCTTATTTTATTTTTAAAACACATGCGTGGGCGAGGGGGCTCGGGGGAGATGTTTTTTTTTTGCAGCTGCACAACGCGCGCGTTTAATAATTTTTAATTGCCATTTTTACAATATGGGGCTTTAGTTTTATGAACTCCATCAACAATCACATCATCCGCCTTCGACGCACATCTTTTCACAGTTGCGTTTCGTTTCGTTTCGTTTGAGATGTTGTCTGCGTCTTGTCTCGCCTCCTCTCGCTCACTATCACTCTTTCTCTTTTTCCGCCTTCTGCTGCTGTTACTTCTTCTTCTTCTTCTTCACCCAACATTAAAAACGCTTCTGGGATACAAATTGATTTTTTTCACTGGTTTGCGTTTGTTCTGACTACACAAATGCACCTTACCCTTACACGCGCGTTTGCATTGTTTCAATTTCGGCGACACTCTAATCATTTACATCATTTTTTTTTACACTAGGTCGTTTTTGTTTAAACAAATCTGCGGAGCAACCAAAATTTTCGCGAAATTTATGCGCTTCGTTCGCTTTGTTGTTGCACTGTTAATAATTCTCACTCGCGATGTTAACTCAAAATGGCAGTGTTAAACTCTAAAGAGTGACCAGTTGTTATTGTTACTGAAAATACCTTGAGAATGCCCCAAATATGCTGTTAGTATTTGTTTGTACTGTGAATACGTGTTTGACTAAGCAAATCAGCTGTGAACGTATTTTTCGTTAGTTTTGTCCGAAAAATATCCCTTTATTTAAGGCGGATATTTAAACCACTTCTGTAATTAAAATATTGGAATTATGAAACCCTAACGGAGAGACCAGCCGTATACAACGTATTCAAATTATGTTTCCGTTTGGAGGCTGCCAGTTAGTTTGATCAAATCAGCTGCTATTTTCGACAATATGGCATTATTCAAAGCAAAACAAAGCTGCCAGCACTGCAAAGCAAATCAGCTGCTGTTTTCGACAAGCTGGCAACACTGCAAACATAATTGCAATAAGAATTTTATAATAATCCTTCTGGAAATAAACAAATTGTAAAAATTCTGCGTAAAATCAAAGTTGCATTGCATCTGAAGAAGCGCCGATCCAAGCACAAGCCAGCAGAGCAACAGGCCCAGGCACAGTCACAGTCACTGCAGCAGCAACACCGCCATCATCGCTGTTACCAAGACGACGACGACGCCAGCTGCAGCCAAATGGAAAGCAATTTGAATCGAATGATTAATCAAACGCTGCGTCATCCGCTCAGCGGGCAGCTAAGCAAATATACAAATGTGATGAAGGGTAAGGATGAGCAGCATCCTGGTAAACCGAAGTTTATGCAGCCCATCTATTGCAGGCTGGCAGTTCCGTTGGTTTACCGTGGACTCCAAGACGGGCTATTTGAGCTACTATTTGTGCGACTCGTCGGCAGTGGGCGACGACATTGCTCCGTCGCCCCATGTGCTGGCCAACACACCGCGCGGCCAGGTGCAGCTGGCCGGCGCCGTGGTCTATCCCAGCGACGAGGATTCGCGCACCTTTTCCATAGCCTGTGCATCGGGAGACACGATGAAGCTGCGTGCTAGTGATGCACGTGCTCGACAGGAATGGGTCGATGGCTTGCGCGCCGTCGTCGAGAGCCACACACAAGCTATGGACATAAGCAATTCCTCGCCATTGCCGGCACGCGAACTACTGGCTGCCTCGGATGCATTAGTCGCCGCTCGTCAAGCTCTATTCCTCACCGAGCAGTGGTAAGCCATGCTCGCTATACTTTGACATAATAACTGCTCCACTATGTTTTTTCTAGCAATGCCTCGTTGGCACGCGCCATTGAAAACATTGACTGTGCTTCCTTCTCGCCCACGGATCCGGATCTCTTGCTGCTGAAAGCCATTTCCACGGCCAGCACACAGTGTCTGCATCAATGCCTTGGCCTGCTGCAACGTCATCAGGAGATCAATCAGCCCCAACTCGAGGAGGTGACGCCGCCCAGCATCAGCTTGGCCCTGCAATAGCAGATCTAACCTAATTTGTCCTATGTTATCAAGTTATCAAAGCAATAAAATTAAATACTGTAAATACTAAATAAATACCAAATCATTATAGGAACTTCAAACGGAGTCAGAAATAGATCAAATATGGAACCAAAGTAAAGTAATTAAAGAAACTTGTGCTTCATATAGCTGTATATTTAAAGAATACATTCTTGATCAGAAAACCGGACTATTTTGGACCTTCGAAAACGATTTTCCACATTTTTGTTTTTATAAAATATTTTTTTATTCAATTTTTTTTTGTTTTTCTTGTTTTCGTTTTTTTTGTTATTCGATTAATAAGAAACATTCATTTCGACATTTAAAAGTTAATTTGAACATAAAGTTTTGCACTAAAGTTTTTTTTTATAGAAAACGTATAATAATGATATATATATATTTATATATATATATTTCCTGGAAATTTTCGGTTAGCTTTATAAACTTATTTTGGTTTTTTTTAATGTAATTTTTTTTTCAATTTTTTTTTTGGTTGAAATACTCGCAATATACCAAATAGGTAGGGAACATTAGAGTCTATTTTTTTATTGGGTGGTTGGGGGGATTAGTTATGAGCGTTACATATATAGATACATATATATATATATATATATACCTATATATATACACATATCTATATATGTGTCTATATGGCTATGGCTATTGTATAAACTGTAAATACTTAATATTTTATTTAAAATTTGATTTTTAAGTTTCTTTATTTTTTTCTGCTATTTTTTACGTTTATTATTATGTTTTTTTTTTATTTATTGTGTGCTTGCAAATGAGATTTTTTTATTTTTTTTAAATATATATAAAATGCTTTGCCGAAAGATTTGCCTAAACGTTTTTCCCCTTTTTATAACTTAATAAAATACTTATATATTTATTAAAAATATATAGTATGTATGTATATGCCAGACTTTTTCTAACTTAATTGACGAAAGTTGTTGATTAATTTTTTAATGAAAAAACTATAAAAAAAAGCTTAAGTTAAAATTAATGCTAGAAAAGGCACTTTAGAAGAGTAGAAAAGAATTGTTAAACATTTTTTTAGTTAAAAATTATTTTTTTTTTAAATTAATACGTTTTTAAAATTGTAAATTATCAGACGCCTGGAAATTTTATTTTTATTTTCAACAACTTTCGTTTTAAAATTTCGTTTCTTCATAATTTTCTATAAATTTTGTTTTGTATAAAGTTTTTTTTTGTTTTGTTAAAAAATTTATTTTAAATTTACAAATTTCGTTTTTTTTTTTTGGTTTTTCATTTTATTTTTAACAATTTCTCTGAATTTAATTCCGAAAGGCATTTTTTGTGAATTTTTGTTTTTGTTTTTTAAGACCTAAACATTAAATTTAGTTGTTTCCATATTTTCAATTTTCAGTTTTCCTTTGTTTTTCATTTTTTTAATGCACATCCAAAAGTTTTTAGATTTTAATTTAATTTTCATATAATTTTTTGTACATATACTTTATTTTTTATAAACTAAATAAAACTGGGCACACAATTGCTAGGGTTTAAATACTTGTATTTTCTTTAAATATTATTTATTTACTTTTTAGTTTTATTTTTTTTATTTTGTTGTTGAAAAACTGTTTTGTGGGGTTTTTTGTGGAATGTTCCTGGGTATTTCTTAGAGTTTCTCAATTTATTTATATATATATATATAAGAAATTAAAGAGATCGCTATTTAATTATTTAATTAACATAATAATACTTTCATTTTTAATTTTTTCATTATGTATTTTAAATTAAAATTATAATTAAATTCAAGTGGACCGACAGAAACCAAGGAACGCGCGTTCGAAATACTTATGTATGTATTATGTATATATATATATACATATATGTATGTCTATATATATAGTGGTCTATTATTTTTAAATTAATAAATTATTTATATAATTTAAATAAATATCATTAAAATAAATTATTTTTGTTGGACATTTCACAATAAAAAAATTTATTAATTTAAATTTTTTATATAAATATATAAATATTATATATAAATATTAATTTAAATTTAGCATAAAGTAACAAATTAATTTTAGAATATAAATTCATTAATTTAAATTTTATAAATAATTAAATATATTTAGTTATATAAATAAATATTAAATAAATAATGTATTAAGTTATAATTTAATTTTGTAATATGTATTAACTTAAATATTTAAATTTTTTTAGATAAATAATTTATTTAAATTTTGGTAAATTATTTTTGTCACATATAATTTAAGTTTCGTATTAAAAGATTAAATTAAATTACCATAAGTATTTTATTCTAAATTAATTTTGTAATTTATCTTAAATAATTTAAATTATAATTAACTATTTTCAACTAATTTTTAAGCATGTAAAAAACTAATTTAAATTTTTTGAAAATTTAAAAATATATAAATTCTTACGATAAAAATTAAAATATAAATAAATTAATTTTTAACTACAATTAAATTTATACAAATTAATTTTTAGTTTTATCTTCTAGTTTCGTCAACTTTTCAGACCACCCTCGTATACATATCCACACATACACACATATATATATATATATATATATATATGAATATATATAATATATAACTCAATTTATATACACATATGTATTCCATATTAAATACTATATAGTTTAAATAAAATGTATAAAAGTTTTAAAATTTCCATTTTTCTCAAATCTCAATTGCTTAATTAAAAGGAAAATTTGTTGCTCTTTTGATTGATTGATTGATTTAGTTGAGTTGGGAGAGTTGAAGCTGCAGTTGGACTCTACTCGCCGCTGGTCGTAATGGGCTCCACTTTGATAGAGCTGCTACTGCTGCTGCTGGCGCACATCTCCCCGCCGACTGCACCGCTTGCTGCTCCCGCGGGTGTTCCTCCCGCTGCTGGCGTCGCTGCTGCTGTGGTTGAGGCAGAGGTGGAGGTGGAGGAGGCGCCCACCAGCTCGGCCAGGTCCTCGGCAAAGAGACGTGTGGGCGAAAAGTCACGCTTGTAGCCCAGCTCCAAGCCCAACTCGGCGAGCGGCGAATGCAAACGCGGCGGACTGCTCTTCGACTTGGACTTGTCCATCTGCGACTGCTGCTGCTGCTGCTGATGCTGTTGTTGTTGCTGGTGCTGCTGTTGCTGCTGCTGATGCTGCATGGAACTGGCACCGAAACCGGATTTGTGTGGCTGCATGTGATGGGAATGCGGATGTGGATGGGGATGTTGCACTGCAGCAGCAGCAGCCGCCGCTGCAGCAGCTGCTGCTGCCTGTTGATGTAAAGCGTGTTGTTGTTGCTGCTGCTGTTGCTGCTGCTGTTGTTGCTGTTGATGCTGCTGATGGAGCTGCAGCTGCTGCAGATGATGCTGCTGCTGCTGACTGAGTAGAGCAGCAGCTGCCGGATCTCGGTGCAGTGCAACGGCCATGCTGGGCGGCAGATTCGGCAGGAGGCCGGCGGGACCGCAGGGCGAGGGCGCATGCCGTGCTCCCAGCGATGGATTTGAGCCGCTGCTCAATGCTGGCGATATGCTTGCCCGTCCCGCTCCGCCCGTCAAATGGGGCGGCAAATTGAAAAGGCCCGGCGGACCCGGTGGGGGCGGTTGCGGTCCCGCCTCCCCGTGCTGATGCTGCGCTGCGGCGGCCATTTGCATCTGCTGGCGTATATTATGTGCGACGGCTGCTACCGCTGACATTTGCTCCTGAGACATCTGCTGATCCGCTCCACTGGCAGCGCCTCCCACTCCGCCTCCACTGCCCATGCCATTGGGGCAGGCGAGAGCGCTGAGACTGGCGGCTCCTCCGCCGACCGGCTGACCTGGATAACTAAGCGTCATGTCCTGCAAAGGGAAAACGGGCTAACCCGGTCGACAGTTTAGTGTGTGGATTATTTCAAGGAGAAACTTATCACATTATCTTGCAGAATTCAAATTACAAATGAAGCCAGTTGCGGCTTATCGATGCCATACAGATCAGTGCTATAAAACGCCAATAAGCATCGATAAGTTCTGTTAAGATTGACGTTTACTCAAAAGGCAGCTTTCTTAATTGACATCGAAATCTGCTATGGTCGCCAATACAATCAGATCGCTGTCTTACAGTAAGAAGTATCGATACTTTCTGCCAACTTAACATCTTAATGAAATTATTAAGTAAAGGACCACTTAGCAGGCATCGAAATCACATATTAATCCATATCGAATTAATCGCGAATGAAAATGTCCGCTTGAATGAATACGTCGTAATTTTTATTTTAATTTTTTTGAAGTGAAAGTGTGATAAAGTGTACGTGCTGTGTAGTGAATAGTGGTTTGTTTTAACATACCGAATGCCGACCGTACGGTGGCATATGCGCGCCTAAGCTATCTTCCTTCATGTCCTTGGTGTCGCGAAATACGACCGTCTTGATGACGCCTTTGATATGCTCATCTGGCCAGATGCCCAGCAGAATGCGTTGCGGTCGGCCCCGTCCCTTTGGTCGCAAATCGGGTCCTCCATCGATCGAGGGACCGAGCATATTGTGCACCCGATTCGCGTAGAGCACAAATGTCGGATAGGGTATATCGTATTTTCGCGCCGCTTGCGATAGGGAAAGTCCTTCCTTTAGTACGCTAAAAATGGCTTCGGCCATCGTTTCGGGACGCCATGACTTAAGCGGTCCGCGTTCTCGAAACCGCATGTGATGCATTAAATTTTGATTAGTGTTCCAGCATTTTTGCCACATCGATTGCAGCTGATATTGATAACTGTCTGCTGGAATGTTCGAGAGGGATACATACAATACAACGAAATATAAAGTGCTGGGTGAGTGCAAAAGCTCACAGCTTTTGATTGTCTAAACAAACCTGCTAAAGTTGAGCCACTGGCGCCCATCCAAGCGTGCGAGTTTTCCATCATTTTTGCCTGTCGAAAATAAAGAAGAAACGTATGTAAAATAACGGAAGATAGATAAATATAGAAAGGCAGAGAGAGAGGGGAAGATGGCGGGAGAGAATTAATTGCATATCTTTATTTGCTGCACAATGCGCTGTCGCCATTGATGCAAAAGAAGAAGATCGACCTATTTTTTTATGAAATAGCTCTTATAGCGTAGGTCGGGCATATAGGCTTGCAGCAATGGTATGAGACAATTTATGTTTAAGTAAATAAAAAGGTAATACAAATATTTTCAAAAAATATAAAAGCATATGCATATTAACACAAACAATAATAAAAAATAAAAAAAAATATCTTAAAAAAATTAATGAATTAAAAACAAAAGCTTGAATACTTCAAAGCTTCACTTAAGTTAAAATTAATTATTGAATAAGTACAACAGAACTCAGTTCCAGTTTTATTTATAACAGAAAATATTCAGAAAATTATTGAGTATTTCATAAACAATTATTAAGTTCATTAAATGGAATAGCCAAAGAAGCTAGTAGTAATAGCCAGGCTAAAACTTAAATTGCTTACAATTAATTTCAACATAAATTGCAGGGCATTATTAAGTCATATAATTGTCGTTGTCTTAATAGTAACAGTTTATATATGTATATACATTGCAGAGCATTATTAAGTCGTATAATTGCGGCTCTTAATAGTTTTCAACCAGTTTCGAATCTAATGCTAACGATACATTTAACTGCAGCGCTTGGCCTGTGAGTTGTTCGAGTGGCTTTTCTTCCTCGTTGACGTTGACGTTACCGTTATCGTTGCCGTTACAGTTACCGTTACCTGTCTGTTTGCCGAAGTACCGTTTGCCAAGTGCTTCGTATTGAATTCACTAATTGCATAACAAAGTAACATTTGCATATTGTGCCACATATCCTTAAACGTGTCTATGTATGCCCACTAGAAGGTGAGCCACGCCCGCTGTTGCCACCGCCCTTCTCTTCCTCTCTCTCTCTCTTTCGCTCGCTTAGGAGCTTGTCAATAACTTCATTACAAACTGAGTAAGAGTGTTTTAGTTGAAAGTGCGCGATTAAGAGCTACCCTGTACTTTGTACTATGATACCCTGTAATTGTTAGATTTATGTAAGAGATAACAAAAATAAACATATTGAGAAAATTTGGATGAGTTTATCGAGTTTCATCTCTAACTATTAAATTCCTCCCGATATGGTTAAAATTAAGCGATATCTAACACAAATGTTAATGTAATAAGTATCTTTAGCCTTAAGATTATTCAATTACATATACTTTCACAAGAGCCAATATACCCCGCTTAGCAATTTCCAATGAGTTTAAGGGTATAAAAATTTCGCATCATCTAACATATCAAGTGGTTATTCCCCGACCGACTCGGGGGCCACTTGAGCCCATTTAGGCTAAGTATTACTTGTAAGTTTGCCATGTGACTGCGTGGCTGAGTAGCAGTTAAGTTGCTGCCTGTTTCTCATTTTCAGTTGCTTCCTCGTCTAAATACATTCATATGCACACAGTCTGTGTGTAATAGCAGCCGCCCAGACAATGCGCTTTCCTTTGCTCTGTTGTTGTCCGAAAATTTGTGTTGCATACTTTTATGGACGTCAGACATGCAAATCGTACGTCTCCAAACTAGCCATTTCATTTTCGTTCTTATTATGACGTAAATTATATACAATATTTTTGTAGTTATTTTGTTTATTTTTATTTTTTGTTAAGCTAAAGTAAAATTACTTTATTTGCAAGCAAATTGAGCTGGAATTTTCGACGGAAAATTTGTGCAGAAATATATATATATATATATATATATATATATATATATATATATTATATTATATACATTATATACATTATATTTGTACAGTTTTTGAAAGGGGCTACAAAATATAAATTTTATACTTTGGCTTTTTTACTATCATATTCAGATATAATATGAGATAATAGATTGTTTATTAATTTTTAGTGGAATTGCTAGATTTTTCATGAAATTTATTATGGCGACGGCGGTTGAAAATTAAGGAATTCAAATAGGATATAGCTAATCCACATAATTATATAAAGAACACACATACACATATATTTGAACGCGTTTAGCTGTGTGTGTGTGTATGTGCAACTAAGCGAAGAAACGCTGCAGCCATCAAAGCAACTGCAACGACGCCAACAACAACAAAATGTTGCACATCCAACTAGGCAGGCCAACTAATGGTCCATTCGTGGCACTTGGTTATTGACGTTGGACTCGAATTGTATTAACAATGCATGGGGCACTGGGCCAGGCTCACTGAACTGCTCACTGGGCGAGCAGGAGCGTGCAGCTGGGCGTGGCAGCTGGTGGCAAGGGATGTGAGGAGGTGGCGTGGCTTTGAGGTAAGCAGCGGCTGCGACTGCGTTTGGCTTTGATGCAAAATCGAAACGTGGTCAACTTCATTTCGCTTAATTTCGCGTTGACTCTACACACACACACGCGCACACACAGGAGTTGCATTTGCAGCTATATGTCGCGCGCTAATCTGCAGCACAGGTAAACAGAGAGGGCAAAGTGTGCGTGGGGCGTGGCATGCCACTCAGGTATGACATTTTGGCAGCGTCGAAGTGCACCAAGACTGTCAAATGAGTTGTAATGAAATCTCGTTCAGTAAATGTGTGTGTGTGTGTGTGATATACATATGTGTTAAGTGTGTGTGTGTGTGCGTGTGTGTGTTGCGCTGCTTTGGTCAGTTGCACATATAATAAATAAATTATTTGGCATTTGGCGTACGTATTATTGAAGGCAGCTGGCTAATAGGCACACGCATGCACACTCACACACATGCATGCAGCGGCGGCGCCATCTGTCGTTCGTCTTGCGCATTAGCGTGATTAGTCTCCATAGTCTCGCTTGCTGGCATTTAGACTTGCAACAACAACCATTATACAACCTTTGGTCCCCTCCCGTCTTGACGTGGCTTTAAAATTAAATTATTGAAAAATTTGTGGCGTTTCCGCCATTTTCTAGCTGCAGACAGACGTCTACGCAGGACCCCGAAACAAACTTATAAAAAAAAACTCCTTTACTGAACGCCCCCAGTGTTAAGAAGCCAGGAAAAAGGCGTTGCAGTCAACGCAATTGAAACCTTTGAGATACCTTTCTCGCCTCCTCACTCTGCCTCTACTGCGCCCCCTGCTCACTCGCTCTCTGTCTCTGCTTCTTTGTGTAAGCATTGAGGCGTTAAGCTCATATCAATTGGGCGTAAAAAGCGCTAAACATTCTAACCGCCAGCTTTTCGACTACCTTAAACCTCTTCGACAATTTGTACATCCACTTAGCTTCCACTTTTGCGGCACTTGTGTGGCATGTGGCATGGCTCTAGTTTAGCCCGCGGGGTGTCGCACAACTTGAGCCGGTGGTTGTTGCCACAATTTCTGATTTTCTGATTTGCTCAGACCAGAAAGCATCCGCAATGCAATTTAACCAAATTCACAGCAGGAAATAGCGACATGTGGCCAAAAACATGTTTATAGATCGCATACGAGGCAAACAATTAAATAAAAAATATATAAAAATTGAAAAATAAGAAAAGCAAAAAATAATCTAATAAATAGAAAAAATATTTGAAATATAATAAAAATATTACTTGAAAAATATAAAATGTTGAAATTTAACTTGATTTTGAAATGTGCAATAAAATGTCAAATACGTTTCAAAATATAAATAAATATAAAAGCTTTGCATGTTCGTTCGTGAAGTGAAAAAGAGTAGATTCGGCTTCTGCTAGAGACTTAAAATTATGTAAAGTTTCTTGCTGTTCCTCTCGTTTAATATGAGCTAAGATTATACGTTATTTAAAGTCTAAGAGATTTAAAATTTTGACTATATACTCGTGTGGACAATTCAAGAACAAAAATGTATAGAATATATATTTAAAGCCTTTGCCACATACTTCTTCCATGTTTTTTTTTAGTTATATTCATGCCTCAATCTATATTCGTGCTTGCGTGCTCAATTGAACAAGTCAAAATTCCTAATTCAAGGATGTTGTTCAGGAAATTATCAAAGTGTTCTGTGTGTGGCTGAGTGTGTTAGTGTGTGTGTGGCTGAGTGTGTCAGTGTGTGTGTGTGCTTTCTGGAATTCGTGTGTAACCAAAAATTAATTAGCGTGAAAAGCATTTTGAAATGTTTAAGCCAAGCAGTTGACAAACCGAATTTGGAAGACGGATGCATGGCTAAAAACTTGCATTAGTTTTGTCGAGCTCATTTCCTCAGTCGCTCGCACACACACACATACACATTTTTAATTTGATTTAGTCGCAAAACTTGCTGCTTCATTAAAATTCGTGCAACAACAAATAAAAAGTTTTTTGGCTCGCGTTTTGCTACTTGAAACGGGAATTACAAAATGCAGCAGCAGCAGTAGCAGCAGCAGTTAGCTGTGGCAGCAACAAGCGGCATATTTCCGACTTTCCCATTTAACCCTTAGACCCTACCCCAAAAGAGCCCTCTTAGCCGCCTTAACCCTTAGGCAGCCCAACAAGCGCTCTGAAGTGTGCTACGATTTCACTTGAAAACTGCAATCAAGTGAATTTCAATATGTATATGCACATGTGGCTATGTGTGCTTGTGTGTGTGTATAAAAACTTCATGGATTTAATAATCAAACCATCGATGGTTAAAATCGAGGAAAGAGAGTGAGAGAGAGAGAGAGAGAGCGCGCGCGTCGTTCCCTACATGAGCACTTCTCTACATTTGTTCCTCATTTCCTGTACAATTTTATTATATTTCATATATGGATGACGGTTCACTGTGTGGGTGTCTATGTGTGTGTGTGTGCGATCGGCAATAACAGCTTATGGTCTATATATTCGTCTAACTGTGCTGCAGTCCTAACGGCCGCCCCCACAGCCGCGCCCACTACAATCTGTTTGCCAATGCATAAGTATTTATAATGAAAATATGAAACGTTGCGCACATTATAAACGATGCGATGTGTATGTGTGTGGGTGTGTATGGACTGAGA